TTTGCACACGTGCCTTCTAGGTGCCAAATGTGTACTCCAAATGTGGCGTTAACGTTGACATCCCTGTGGGTTCAAGCCACGTGTTTCTGACAAGCTGCAGGAAGCAATGGTAATTTTGGCTTTTTCTCGGTTTTGTTGTCGGATAATGAAAAGCTTTTGTAAAACAGCTGAGTGTCAATATGAGTTCTATGGCTTCAATCTCCTTTAAAAATAAAATTCTTAAGGGTCCAAAACAAAGGACAGGGGGGCAAATTAAAAAAAAAAAGAAAGAAAAAAAAAGAAAAGAAAGAAAATCAAACCAAAAGAAAAAAAAATTGCTGATATTGCCACAAATCATTAGAAATCTCCTGACATGCTGAAACCAAGTGGTTCAAAACAAATCAATGACTTGTTTTCAATTTTTTGTGGTTTCCTTCTGCTCCTTCTGCCCCTTTGCCGTCCGATTGGTGATGTTATTCAAACAGGACCGAATCCCTGCCAAGTGCAGGAGCGACCCGGCTGCCTCTTTCATCTCCTCGTCGTCGCTCTCGGGGGGCTTTTCCGTGCGTCTCTTTTTGAGGGGCAGCGTGTCGCTGGGGACCTTCCTGGCCTTGGCGAAGTGCTGGCGCTTCTTGTGCTGGGATGCGTACCCGCTGTCCCCCAGGGCATCCTTGGCCTCCTTCTGGCTGGGCTTCCTGTCGTCCTCCTCCGTTTCGCTGTGGCTCTCGTGGCTCTGGAAGCTGCCCTCGCTGCCCTCCTGGCTCCCCTTGGTGGCAAACTCGTAGTGGTCGTCGGCCGAGGAGGAGGAGGAGGAGGAGGAGACGGAGTCGCTGGTGGGCGAGGTGCTCCGGGCGTTGGAGGACTTGGCACTGCTATAGTTGTGATCCTCCTTGGGGTCTCCGCTGACCACGGGGGAGCCGCACGATGGCTCACTCTCAGTCCGCATCCGGCAACTGGTGATGCCGTTCCTGCAGGGCGAGGACATGGGGAGGGATGGGAGACAGAGAGGGGACACAGATTAGACCTCTGATGGAGATCCAGGTGCCCAAATGCATGCAAACACCAGTTAGCAATTTAAAAACCTGGGGCAATGGGAGGATCTGCTGGAAGACTACGGCCTCATCCTTGCCACCTGGGCCTCTCCTGCTTATCTCCCATCAATGGCCGAGATGTTAAAGCCATGGCTCAGCAGGGACCGCAGCGGAAGCTCTGGCCCTGACATTAAACCACAAAAATCAAATTGCACTTAGTTCCTGGTAGCCCCCAGCTCCATGGAGTCAGGTACCATGCCTGGGCATTTCAGAGGAAAAAAAAAAGACATTTTCTCCCAAAGTTAGTGTATGAGGAGACTTTATCAGAAGACGAAATACAGTGTTCAGCAAAGAGACACCTGCCGCGTGGGGACTGCTGTTCACTCCATCCTTCATTTAATCTACCAACATTCACCGTGTGCCTGACAGGAACGCATGACCTGAGGGAGGGGCCCAGGGAGGTCACATACAGACACTATCAGGAAGATGCTGCAGTCTGACAAAGAAGCATGTCAAGTTTCTAAGAGAGAACTGCCATTTCCTCGAGTGGCCACCGCCAAGTGCCCTGCTGAGCCCACCCGGATGACTGCGTTCGACTCTATAAAGCAGACCGGAGCCCCTTAGTTGTCGACTCACCAGAGGGGAGGTCTGGAAAGTTCGGTGATTTAAAGTCCCCAGCTGAGAAACAGTCGAATCAGGGCTGAAACCAACGTCTGACCGCCAAGCTCGAGAGAGTCAGGCCACCTGCCAACACCCCCCCCCTGCAGGTTCCCCATGGAAAGGCTCCCTGCCACAGCTTTCCTTCAGGACCCTGGAGCCCTCCTCATCATGCCTATTCTGTGTGTCTGAGCAGTGTGCTGACCTCCTTTACGGTTCCTCATCAGCAGAATGGGAAGTGTTCCTCTGCCCACCTCCCGGGTAGCTGGGCCGCCCACAGGAGTGAACCCCTGCAGTGTCCGGCCAGGACTGGCAGCGGTGATGTTTACTCCTGGTCAGGCCACATGTGCCAAGTGTCTGGGTGGCAGCTGTCTTTCTTCTGTGCCTGGCACACGCTAGATGTTCAGCACAGGTGGAAATCAGAAGGACGAAGGCTTGCAGGAAAGGCTACTGATAGTTGGAAGGACAAAGGACAGGGTGCCAGGGGAACTTTCTGAGGAAGAAGTGGCATCTGACCTTGGATGTGAGGGCCAAGGATTTGCGCAGGGATGGGACACGTCCTGGTGCCCCAGGCTGGCCCCTTTTCCTGCTAGCTCCTCCACCTCGTGAGACCCTTCTAAGAGACCCAAGGAACTCGCCACATTCTTCCTGCCTGGACTGTACACACTCTGACTTTTCCTTCAGGAGGGCATTCCCACCATCACCAAGAACCGGACAGCGGCCTGTTCAATGCCTGTGCATAGCAGCTCCACCAGACACCGCCCAGTCACAGCATGTCCCACCTGGCAGACACCCAGCAACAGGACCAGGGAATGAAGGAGCTAGATGGCACTTTGTGGCACAGAGTACAGGAAGTGGCTCTGGGTCCTCCCGCCAACACTGACCAGACCCAGCCTGAGGATGCGGCACCGGTTGAAAGACTGTACTGGTCCAAAGGCTGGGACCACAAGGGAGATACCCTGTCCTCCTCCTCCACTCCCTGAGGGCCTTGGGGCTCAGAGAGCTTTCACACATAGAAAGTGAAAGGGGAGGAGGAAAGAGCCTCTAATGCAGATGCAGATGGTACAGCAGGGGGTGAGGCCCAGAATCTCCTACCATCCAGTTTCCAAGTCCTGTCCTACTGAATTGGGGCTGATGGTGAGAATCCCCATCATAATGTCCATCAGCAAAATGTATAATGGCCATTGTCAAAATGTAACCTTTCTTAGGGGCCTCAAGATCATCGTGGTCAACAATTACACAAATGGGTGCATTGGTACAAGGAGCCCTAGTAGGTTCCAGAAGAGTCTCAGCTTGAGCCCTACACTATGATCCCGGATTGCCCCAAATCCTCGTAGGTCAAGCTAGACAGACCTGTGTTTCTGAATCAGTGTTGTGTGTTAGTGACCAAGAGGGCTGGCTGTCTAATGCCTTGGGCCTCCGCTTCCTCATGGCCCTCCCAGGGCTCTGTGAGGATTAAATAAGCCCCAGGCACAGAGGAAGGATCTTAGAGGTACTTGATGTGCTCACCTGGGAAAGACTCATTTTCTCTTTCTCCCCTGGGTAAGCGGTTTATAGGAATCCAGCACAGAGTAAAGAAGCACTAACCAGAGGAATTCCTCCAGGGTTTGCCTGAGGACACAGTCCCTGGGCTTTGGGAACTAACTGGCCTCCTGGATATCCATTCTCTGCAGATTTCCTGTTTCCTGGCTACGTCCTGGGTACATACAAATGGCCGAGATAGGATTACTCCGAGGTGTTTACCAAATGTAAAACTTTGAGTGAATAGAATTTATCATACAGCCCGTCCTAACAGTTATTAAAGTAAAAGAAAATGGAAGTCTCATGTCATGGCTCTCCTGATCTTCACTGTTTAAGGTAACTACTGTGAAATACAAAAGCAGTCCGTCTACTGAACTAGACCAAACCGATTCCTACTGAATCCAGCTACATTTGGATGAGTGAACAGGGCTGTCTGGCTTTTAACAAATCAATTCGGTTCTGAATTCTTCTCCCTGTAACCACTTGGCACTTGGGACTCACTTCACTACCACCGTTCAGGGGAAGGCAGGACCCCTCTCTGGACACATGGGAAGAAGAAGAAGAAACCCCCGAGACCGACAAGGTAGGAGAAGCCTCCACCAAGTGACTTCCTTGTGTGTCTAGGCGAAGCGCAGATGGTGTTTTTTCTGTGATTTTCTTTCCTCTTTTCCCTAGGTTTGAAATTTTTTTTAAATAAGAAGTTTGGGGTGGTGGGTGGAGAAATACTATAACCAAAGCGAAACGGTGCCAGAATTCTACCCTACCCCAAGAGGAAAGACTTGGAGTTGGAGAACCCTTCTCTTTCTTAAACAAAGCAGCATCAGAGAGGCGGAAAAAGACCCGCTTGACCCAAATGGACACGTTCTTCAGAAGGACATCTCGTGGATGAAAGAATAGAACATTGTTCCTGGGCCCCTGAGTCTGTAGATGGTGGGGTCTCTGGCCACTTAGAATCAGGCTGCTTGCTGACAGTGATTCCACAAAATACCTTGGAACATAGAAAAACTCCCAGGACCCTGAGACTGGCCCACAGTGGCCTCCCTGATTCTCAAGGACAATCCAAGCAGGAACCTGAAATATCTCCCTGCAACCCCAAAGAAGGACGTCTACTGTGATGGAGACGGGAAACTAACATTATAACCACTGACAACACGTCCAGATGCAAACAGGCGCAGACATAACTTCAGGGAGGGAGAATGAAAACAGAAACGTATCCCTTTCTCGTTGGATGAAATTAGCTTTCCCTGAGATTTTAGCATGGGCTCAGACTCCATAAATTACACACGCAACTCAGTGGGAAGTGACAAGCTCCTTCAATTATTAATGACTTGGCACGAAGTGATTCATGATGGTGCAAGCCAGCTGCACGGAGCTGGTGTCAAATGCTCCCCGCTGCAGGGGTTGTCATTACAGGACACCGAATGCTTAAAAGAAACCAGCCATCCTGAACACATGGGAAGGGGAGTCTCTAACCTCCTCGAAAAACCATTCATTAAAATGAACGTGGGATGCCTGTAATTTTTTCAGGGTTAGTAAAATTTACATTCATGATACTCAAATGATCATACATTAGCATAAATGAAAGCCACCTGATTTTACTAGACCTCTATGAGTGTAAAGCACACAGTTCAGCAAAACCACGTGCTGTTAACTGGAAAACCAAACAGCAAAGAGAGCTCCCATTTGTTCCAGCCAAGAAGGAGCAATGTTTGCAAACGGCAAGTTAAGGTAGAAGTTGATGCTTAGTCATGGCCTCCTCTCCTGCTGTTCCCCCCCCCTTTTTTTCCTATAGGTTTATTATTTGTTCTATTACAGTTAAGCAGCGTGTGGAGACTCTGCCCTTTACTGGTTGGTGTGCTTGGGCTCTGTCTAGAACTGGTGGCTTTACGCCTACCTACAGGTTATCATTCAGGGTAACTCTCCTCTCAGGCCCTGACTTGAAGGCACTGATCCTGAGTCAGATGGGAAAACCAGACAGAATTAATAGGAATACAGTGCTTCTCCCCCAACCCAACAACAAGTAGAAAGCCCTGGGCAAGAGATGACCAGGGAGGGGCCTTCTGCTCCCACACAGGTGGCAGAAGAGACATTTAGAACCCATGCTCCTGACGGCAACACAAAGGATTCTCAATAAAGTACAGCAACGTACTGTAAAGTCACAAGGAAATGAGGGGAATCTGACACCCACGTAGACTTACCCAGTGAGCCTCATACACACAAATGAAAACTGAACAACACAACCTGAAATGTGGGCAGCTGGCCACTAAGGAAGCCGGGGTTTCCCTGGAGCACATGCCCACCCGGGCCTGGATCGAGAACCCAGACTTATGCACAATAAAGGACAGGGAGCGGCAGGAAGGCTGATTTTGTAAGGTGCATGGTTACTGTGGACCCTCCAATGGAGTTAAAGTGGCCTTGTGTCCACCAGTCCCCCAGGCCTGGTTTTAAAAGCAAACCCTCTGCAAGAACACACTTGAACCCCAAGTCACAGAGAATTCCCACAGATAAGAAGGCACAGAACAGAGGTTCATAATAGTTTTAAAAAATCATAAACACAAAGGAAATAAGCTACTGCAAGCCAGAGACAATTGAAAAAAGCAACTATAAAATCTAAGACTACTAATGTGGAAACATTATAGATGGAAAACATAAAGTTAGGATGTTTCAAGAAACACAAGAGAGAACTGAAAAATCCTGGAAAGGAAGAATACACTGTATTCCAATTAAGCAGATTTTGGAAAGTACCAAATAGAGCTTCT